ACCTTAACCAAAATCAAAGTAGACTATCACTCACCCACACCAGATGGAAAACTCTACAGACTGTCGGTTCACACCCCATCACAAGCCAGCAAAACATCCACAAAATAAAGAAAGGTCTGTCACAGCCAAAAAATACACTCCAGATATATATCATTATCACATAAACTATGAGTACATTGAGTAGTATGAACTAAAAGAGCGCACTTTGCAAAAGACATGGATTAAAAAAAAAAAAAAAACATGAGCGGCACTGAAACCATCTATTTGTAATTTTGTATCATTCTTTTTTAACTCCCCCTTCAGAATGCCTCCCACGTGCATATATGCTAATTTCTTCAGTTCTCTTCTATTGCTTGGTCATTCATTTCTGGTGTTTGGCTGGTGGGCGTGTTTTCTTATCCTTAGGGCACACTCATGTGTTAACTTTTTCACAAATCTCTTGACGTGATTGCAGTCAGATTCATCCAGAACCGGGCGTGGAAGGGGTTCACGTGAGGGGCACATGAGGGGAGGGAGGAGGTAGAAGTGGGAGGGGAAGGGGAGGGAGATCGAGGGAGGGAGAAACAGAACTAGGGGGATGACGAATGTGTGTGTGTGTGTGTGTGTGTGTGTGTGTGTGTGTGTGTGTGTGTGTGTGTCTGTGTTTTACATTTTCGCCACGAGCCCCTGTTCCACCCAGATGAGTAGATCCAAAATCAAAGCAGCTTGACATCTAGAGTTATGAGAATGTCCAACAATGGAAGAATTCTTACTCCTAAAGCAAGCAACATGAAGCACAAGAGATCCGTTAAATCCCATTCTTGACTATCTTTGCTTTGGCTTTCTTTGGGGTAACCCTTTTATTTGTTCTTGCGGCTCCCCTTTTACTGTGCCCGTCACGTACAAGGCTTGCCGCGTTGATTGTGGTTGAGCGCACGCCGCCCACATCCCCGTGTGCCATAACCGCCCACTTGCACGCTATGAAAGCAGGCAGAGTAAAGGAGGATGTATACTCCTGTTCAGTTTTCCTCAGATCTTCAGCTTATATAATGATGCTCCTTTGTATGCATTTATTAGTGATACACAAGATGAGGGAGGAAGGAAAGCGGTAAGGTTCTCTAGAAAGCGAGGGGCGGGGGAGGGAGGGTTAGAGTAGGGAAGTGGAGGGGCAAAGTACAGAACAGAGAAAAGGCGAACTACAGGGTTCTGTGTGTGTGTGTGTGTCGTCATATTCACTATACACTCAAAAAAAGCATGACTGTACCTCTGTGTGTGTGTGTGTGTGTGTGTGTGTGTGTGTGTGTGTGTGTGTGTGTGTGTGTG